TGATTACGCGCAACAAAGGAGGAAAGGAGAAAACACCGGGGGCTTGTCACAAATACTGTTTTGTCCATCTTCTACCTCGCTGCACCACTACGTACCAACATTTCCAAAATGTAAAACAAAAAAAAAATGGTGTGTGGGTGCACTCGGGCCCTTTCCATCGACTCCAAACAGTACTTTTAGCGGGCTGGACCCTCCCTCCCTATATATCGATATATATCATCAAAATATGTATACATATATGATATATGTATATCGCCAAACACAACTACCCTATATGTGTAAGTGTGTGTGTGTGTGTGTGTGTGTGTGTGTGTGTGTGTGTGTGTGTGTGTGTGTGTGTGTGTGAAGATAAAAGTAAAAGGAGACGAAGAAATGGTGGAGGATAGAGACGATGAAGAAAAGGAGGAGGAGGAGGAGGAGAGGAAGAGAACGAGAGGAAGAGGAGGAGGAGGAGGCAAGGAGTAAGAGGAGGAAAGGAGCAAGAGGAGGATGGTGAAATCACCTGGGCGCGTCCGGTGTCTTGCGACGAAGGGGAAGGATGTCGGTTGGAGGGCAGGGCGCAGTGACGAAGGTCAGGCGTAGCGACGAAGGACAGCGCATGGCGACGAAATGGAGGAAACTCTGGTGGCAGGACGTAGGCAAGAGGGCAGGCCTTCTAAAGAAAGGGCGATGACTTGAACCGGATGACACGACGATGGCGAGAAAAAAGTTTGAGCGCCTTTTTTTTTTTTCCGCTATGCATGTAGGAGGCCGGTGTGGGGCCCAAATGCGCACAAACCCACCGCTGATTCAAATCGCGGTGGTCTGCCCTGTGGGTCGTCCGGGTGTGCTGCCCGACCGTATCCACAAAGGGTTCCCTGGCAGGTCCAATCTGGCCCAGGTGGCGCGACTCGAAACATAGCATACCGTACATTTTTTTTTTTTTTTTTTTTTTTTTAAGGGCGATATTGTTGCACTATTATCATCGGACTAACCACCCCGTGTTAATTCAATATTGTGTCTAATCTGACACTGGGTGGCCTTTTCAGTTCGTAGGTGACCTTATTGCCTTCAGGGAACCCCTTTGCGGGGGACACCGGCCAGTGGCCAGTCGCTGTGCCTCCCCGATTACCCATCCACCTACAAACATCGCAGAGACTGCTGTTTAATGCCAATTGGGGGGATTAACGGGGTTGAGGCCAATGAGGATTCAACCTAAAACCTCCTGAATGCCATTTGCGTGCCTTACCAAAAGAGCTAGGCCCCGCAAGTTTTTTTTTTTTTTTTTTTTTCAGATTTATTTTTGTGTGTGTGTGGTCTGTATGTCAAGCATACACAATTGAAGGCAAGAGCAATGCACTCAGTACGTAGGAGAGAGGGAGAATCGACGAGAAGAAGGAGAAGACAAAAAAAGACAGGTGTCCCCGAACGCGACTTATATAAAAAAAAAATGTAATCTTGAAAGCACAAACGGAAGAAAACCTTCCGTGCGGCGTATGACCCGACCGGTTTCGCCTAGCCGCCCGCTAGGCTAATCAGGGGTCTGGTAGTCGGCTGATGGACACAAGACATTTAAAGGTTTATATACTATCTAATCGTAAGATCATCATTCGTCCTAGAACTAAAGAGTTCTTCACGCAGCCGCGTCCAATAGACGCACATATTCCGTACTATTATAATAGTCGCCAAATCCCTTTTTCAAAACCAAAAAGATATAAACACCGACCCGTATGCTATTTTCGGCCACCCAATCTCCCGTGAGAACATAAAAAAGCTTCACACAGCCGCATCTTCCTCTGACTCGTAAAACATCTGAACCTACCGTCAATTCTCGAGTTCATTCAGAAACTAAAAAAACCAAAATACCTACGGAAGCCCACAGTTCCAAGGATCGAACCTAGCTCGCTATTCCGTAAACTCAAGCAACATATCCTCAAATTTCTCATGACCACGATAGCCCCTCACGCAGGTCCCATTACCCCCTCACGCAGGTCCTCAAATTTCTCACAACCACGAAGGCCCCTCAAATTTCTCATAACCACGAAGGCCCCTCATGCAGGTCCCATTACCCCCTACATAACTAACATAAGAAAGCCCCCTCACATAGGTCCCATTACCCCCCACGAACTTACATCAAGAAGGCTCCCTAAGTCGGGAGCAACACACCAGTCGCCGACTCTCAAAACATCGGCCCTATTTGGTGAGTACAGGTAACCATTCTCCCCACAACCCTCCAAATTTCAAGGAGAAATTGAACAACGCATTATTGAAAAACTCATCCGGATACCCCCTCTGCCAATGTTCACATTTTAACGCAAAAAGAAACGGAAAACCATCTCGTTCAAAGTCAAGAAAGACTTAGCTCGATGCAGGAAAGAGGAGATAACCGCCATTTTTTGTTGATAGCTGGAGAAAGAGACGTAGTCTTGCACACACTGAAATTTCAGCGCGCCATCCTCCCTCTGATTCTTCATGAGGGGAAAACAATGTACCCCATTGGCGCCATCGAAAATTTTCAGAACACAACCCAAATAGTCCCAACATCCTCCCGAGTTAGTGCGCTCTAAAATCAAATTGCTATCATAGCAACGACTAAACGTATCGATCAGGTAATACCCTCGGCTCAGCGAACACCTGTCGTTCCTCTTGCACAACACAAAAATAGAAACGTCATCCACCAACATGAAGCCTCGAAACAACCTCCGATCGCTTCCAAGACAAGACCGAAATAAGTATTCATTTAAAGCACACAAAAGGCAAGCGAGGGCAGGGCTCGACGATTTGCCCATTGGTATTCCCACAAACTGTTGCAGCAGACTCCCGACAACAATCACATAGGTACTGTCTAATCTGAATGCCACAAAGGAAATCACAGAGTCGAACGACACGCTTCTCCACCCGAGATCAACTTTCGCTCTCATCACCTTAGCCCCCTTCCTGTGAATCTTCAGCCCAATCGATCTCGCTCCCTTCCCTTTTCACAATTCGACGACCCAGCATACAACTCTTAAGATAGACGGGTGGGGTAGATTAACGAACATCTCTTTAATGTCGAAAGATGCCCCCAGTGGAACACTTCCATCCGACAGACCTCGGTTGACTTTCCGGATTTCAGCCACCAAACAATCAGCACTTCGTAAATTCAAGTTACTGTCAGTCGGCAGATTCCATAACAAAGCATTCACAGTTTGAAAGGCCACTCGACTACCAGACACAATGCACTCAGAGAAGGATGGACAAATAGGTCTCCATCGAGTCACATCCTTGTGTTTAGGGATGCATTATGCTTCACCCAGTCACCTTTTCTTATTCCATTTACCCATCACCTGCAGACCTTTCTCGGCATAATCCTTACCACATGCAGCCAGAATGACATCCTCCTTATTTGCGCATAACTTGAACGATGGATTTTTTAAGAACAGTGTGTCCATGCATTATCGGTATACGACCGGACAACATACATACATATCCCCCACATTGTGGTTAATCGGACAATGAACCAATCCAAACAACCGTCGCGTTATCTCTGCCAAATCGTCGATACTTTTGCACGGTTCACTACAGGAGTCCATACAATAACCCAAGTGGCAGCTTTCCAGATCCCAAGATGAGACAAAACCAGGGTCCACTAGAGGCAACGAAGGGTGACAGGAGAAAGAAGAAACAATCTGCGAACGTAGTCCACAATACCTTCCACATGACGACGAACGAAGAATATTCCTAGGGTTTCGTATCAAAGATGGGAAAGACTCATCAACTTCACTAATACGGAACGAAACATGACCCTCCATACGAGGCAGAGAATCATCACTAGAGCTACAAGAGCAGCAAACATCACTCTCCCTTGAGAACCGTCTGTAATTATGAAGGACTTCACCCACACTTTTGTTCTTACACCATACGATATGCATTCTACGTACAAGCATCAATTTCCAGCTTTCCCGAATGTCAAGGGTCCCCACAATTTTTGAACAAAGTTGTCTGACTTTGGACTTACACAACTTATCGTCCTAAACCAGACGAACAACAATCCGTTTCCGTACATGAATTCCAAATCTCGCCGAGATGCAGTATGACAACAGTCATCGTAAGTGACATCGTGAGCCCTTCTCACTAAAGGTACGTACAACGGTAAAGGCAGCGATCAGTTGGTCGAAATCCCACGATCTCAATTCAACCCTGGTACATGGATTCTTTAGGAAACCAGCCAACGACGCTTTCAGGACAAGAGACCTACTCAGAAAAGGAACGATAGGGTCAAATCTTAGAAATACTCCTCCCACCAACCATTCACGTGAGTGGCGCAACTCTCTTACACCGAATCGAGAATACACCAGAGTTCCTCCGTACAAACACTTCAAGATCTTCCATCGATCAACCAGACGGGTACCGGCCGTACACTCAAGAGTTACACAAAAGACCTTCCTATCGACACAACCTTTGAGAAGACGGATTAAGCTGACCGAACAGCCACCATTATCAGAGCGAAAGGTACACACTCAGCCATACCCTTTGGGCAAAGAAGCCAAGGAATTACAAACCCCACGTCCCTTACGTCTTCGAGCCCTTTCCCTAGGCCTGGTTCTACACCTCCTGGCCCGTCGAGGCTTATCCCGAGTGTTCAATGTCGGACATAACAACCGAATGAAAAACTTCTCTGTCACCAATAAATCATCTGATTCACACCGACACAAAGGAATAATAGCATACGTACACATGCGAACTCGACGCAACCACTGATATAGCCTTTCGTTTCTGTTCCTACCCTCACCTCTTATCTGTCGACAAGTTTGATACACATGCTCTCTCCATCTACACTGCAGATCACGACTCGTACTCCCGACATAGATATGACGAGACCAGGGGGAAACCAAAGCATAAACGAGAGGACCAGTCCATTCATCCACGTGTAGACTACGGGAGGTAGATACGCAGGCAAGAATAAATTTGATCAACTTACCACACCACGAGATTTCTCCAAGAATGAACAACCCACATAGCGCAATGTTCAACAGCTGATTAACGTCCTTGCTACGAAGCCAAAGAATATCGAGAGACCGAAGACGAAAACAAACACGTACTATATGCCATCGTAAAATCTCGTCGGGGCGTGACCCTAAGAAGAAGCGGCGTCACACCCCCCGACTTTGGGTGAGTCCCCATCCCCGTCGTCAGTCACTTCCACAATGGAGTCAATCTTACTCAAATCTCTGCTCCGCTCATCATCTTCTAGTATCTTGTTAACCCGAGCTTGCACAATCGTCTCCTTAGTGTCTTCTAATCGAGTGCACGCCATCCCTTCTTTCTCGCAAATAGCGATGACGTCGTCCTTTTTAAGGTTCCGCAATTTCTTCCGTTCATCCCTCAAGGCCGCTTCCCGTTGACTAACGAGAACAACCGGGGTGTCCTTGGCTTTCATCGTTCTGGAAGATCCATCGGCTGCTTCATCTAACTTCGATTTCAGATTCGTGGCACCACATTTCTTCGCAGTCTCCAACCTTGCCAAAGAGTCCTTCAGGCGATCGATTTCTTCCTCGGATTCTTTCTGAGCGTTCAGCTCACGTAGGCGCATTTCCTTCAGAAGCTCCACTTCCTGCTGATGCCGTTTCACCATTGCTTTGAGCTGCGGGTTGACCCGTCCAGTCGCACCTGGTCCTGCAGATGGAGTGACTCGAGATCGAACCCTGACATCGGTCATGGGAGTCTGACCTGTCGCCATCGCACCACGCTTGTTACCGGGGCGCAACGCTTCAGACTTCCAAGCTTCCCCGTTAGCTTTAGCGACTTCGCATTGCTTCGGCAGTGCGACGATCACCTCTTCTAACATGGCCAACCGTTTGTCAATCGCCGCCTTTGCATCGAGCTGTTCCTTACGAATTCGTCCAAGTTCATCGATATCGCCTCAGGTTCTGACGTTGGCTGAGGTGCTAGCGACATCTCGAGACCGCTGCAATTCGTCAACACGGGCCTTCAACTTCCGTACTTCGTCATCATCTGAGTCCGCACTCATGACAGGTTCCTTCTAACGGCAAAGCATCTCCACCTGCGCACGCAGCTTAGCGATCTCCTCAGCATCACTAGCCTTCTTCCCGTTCACCACTTTTTTTATGACTTCTAGTTTCGTAGACAATTCTTGCCGAATAGAAGATTGAAACTGTTCCCGATCTTTCTTCTCCCGTTGACGTCGGTCTTCTTCCTCCAATTCTCGCTTCTTCTGGTAGTTTTCTTCTTGGACTGCTTTCTCACGCGCCGCATCTGCTTCATGCTTGGTATTAATACGACCCACGATGTCTTCAAGAGTGCTAACGAGTCTCCCGACCCACTTCCTCCACCTCCACCTCCATACCCAGAGTAATACGGAGTAGACGTACCCACATTAGATGTCGACGGAAAGGTTAGTATAGACTGAGCAGGAACAATCGGAGTGTTGTTATTAGGTAGTTGACCTCCATTGAGTCTACGGTCTGGAAGAGGGCATAATTTAGAGACGTGGCCGGGCTGACCACAATTGTAGCAGTTACGAACCAAAGGTACATTAGCGTTGCCATTCGATGCCATCGTCTGTAACTTACGAAGTCACTCAACATTAGTATGACTCCTACGTCGGTTCCTCCGTGAAACAAAGTCTGTATGTCAAGCATACACAATTGAAGGCAAGAGCAATGCACTCAGTACATAGGAGAGAGGGAGAATAGACGAGAAGAAGGAGAAGACAAAAGAACACAGGTGTCCCAGAACGCGACTTATATAAAGAAAAATGTAATCGTGAAAGCACAAACGAAAGAAAACCTTTCGTGCAGCATATGACCCGACCGGTTTCACCTAGCCTCCCACTAGGCTCATCAGGGGTCTGATAGTCGGCTGATGGACACAAGACAGTTAAAGGTTTATATACTATCTAATCGTAAGATCATCAGTCGTCCTAGAACTAAAAGAGTTCTTCAAGCACCCGCGTCCAATAGACACACATATTCCCTACTATTCTAATAGTCACCAAATCCCGTCTTCGAAACCAAAAAGATATAACCACCGATCCGTACGCTATTTTCGGCCACAAGTCCGTGGTTCGAAGCCAGCACCCAATCTCCCGTGAGAACATAAAAAAGCTTCACACAACTGCATCTTCCTCTAACTCGTAAAACATGTGAGCCTATCGCCAATTCTCGGGTTCATTCAAAAACTCAAAAAACAAAAATACCTACGGAAGTCCACAGGTCCAAGGATCGAACCTAGCTCGCTATTCCGTAAACTCAAGCAACATATCCTCAAATTTCTCATAACCACGATAGCCCCTCACGAAGGTCCCATTACCCCCTCACGCAGGTCCTCAAGTGTGTGTGGGTTTGTGTGTGTGCGTCTCCAAGTGCGAGACAGGCCTCATGCGACTAGTACTTCAATGCAAGAATATCGAAATACATACCACTACACGTGTGTATGTGTGTGTGTGTGTGTGTGTGTGTGTGTGTGTGAGAGAGAGAGAGAGAGAGAGAGAGAGAGAGAGAGAGA